AAAAAACAAAAAAAAAAAAACAATATAATCTTCAAAACAGGGAATCAGTCCCAGAAGTTCCAGAGATGAAGGCCCAGATAGCAAGAATGACTGTATGGTCGCCTGTTGGAGTACCTGAAGACTCATGAGAATATGTCAGAAAAAGTGAAAAATATAATAAGCTAACATTTTGTAATATTTTAAATAATTCTGCTAGAACTATCTACACTGGTTTGGAAGAAATAATTTGGAAGAAATTTTGTATTTATAAGCACAGTGGTCAAACCACTTGTGGAAGGTTTATCACAGGACATAGAGAGATGCTGACTGAGTTCTAAAATTTGTCCTCTTGTGACAAATGACTGAGGCAAAGAGAACTTCAGTAATTTTCTGGACAGCAGGGAAGCATACATCCAGGAGATATCTTCTGGTGCAAAAATACTTCATAAGCCCTACCTACATTGGAGTTACTACAAAATTTTCCACACAATACAGGGGCTTTTGTGGCCCTAATGAACTCAAACACAGACATAGCACACCTATAGATTGGCAAAGTGGAGCAGAACACGCAGTTCATGCTAATCATAGAGAGTAGTCAGTGGCTAGCTGTGGGTCCAACCAACATGGGTTAATGATGTGCAAGTCTCGTTTAACCAACCTGATCTTCTTCTGTGATCAGGTGACCTATCCGGTGGATGAGGGAAAGTGGTGGATGTTGCCTATGTGGACCCAGAAAGGCCTTTGACACCGTTTCCCACAGCATTCTGCTGGAGAAGCTGGCAGCTCATGGCCTACACATGTGGACTCTTGGCTGGATTAAAAATTGGCTGCATGGCCAAACCCAGAGAGTTGTGGTGAACGGAGTTAAATCTCATTGGTGACCAGCTATGTGTGGTGTCCCTCAGGGCTTGGTTTTGGGACCAGTCTTGTTTAATATCTTTATCAATGACCTTGACGAGTGGATCAAATGCACCCTCTGTGAATTTGCAGAAGACATGAAATTAAGTGGGAGTGTTGATCTGCTTGAGGATAGGAAGACTCTGCAGAGGGATCTGGACAGGCTGGAGCAATGGGCTGGGGTCAGTTGTATGAGGTTTAACAAGGCCAAGTGCAGGGTCCTGCACTTGGGTCACAACAATCCCAGGCAATGCTCCAGACTTGGGGAGGAGTGGCTGGAAAGCTGCCTGGTGGAAAAGGACCAGGGGAGGTTGGTTGGTAACCGACTGAACATGAGCTAGCAGTGTGCCCAGGTGGCCAAGAAGGCCAACGGCAGCCTGGCCTGTATCAGAAATGGTGTGACCAGCAGGAGTAAGGAGGTGACTGTGCCCTTGCACTTGGCACCTTGAGCACTGTGTTCAGTTTTG